AGGATTAATTAATGGACGTCCTGTCTTTGTATTTAGTCAAGTAATGAATTATTAATTTATTATTATTATTATTATTATTATTATTATTATTATTATTATTATTAATAGGATTTCACGGTATTTGGTGGTAGTCTATCAAGTATGCATGCTCGTAAGATATGTAAGGTAATAATAATAATAATGAATATTAATGAACTAGAACAATATGTACATGTACAACATTTAATGGATGAAGCTATAGCAAATTGTTAATGATATACACCTACAGTATACAGCACTGGATCTATGAACAGATAATGATAGATCCTTTACTATTATACAATGCTAAAATATCTATGCCATTTTATTCTATTGTGGCTACAATGGACATATTGAACAATAGACTCATTCTTCATTAGTAATGCATGTTATAGTACAGTGTACTGGTATCTCTACTGATACTCATTAATGGAGGTAACATTCAGGTGCTGTACATGTAGACTGGCAGACACTCTTCAATGATGTTTGCTTGAGTGGGGCTTACCTGTACTACCCTAATTAATTGTGTTATTATTATTATTATTATTATTATTATGTCATTATTATTATTATTATGTCATTATTATTATTATTATTGTTATTATTATTATTATTGTTGTTGTTGTTGTTGTTGTTGTTGTTATTATTATTAATAGATAATGGATAAGGCAGTATCAGTAGGTGCTCCCATTATTGGTCTCAATGACTCAGGGGGAGCCAGGATACAAGAAGGAGTGGACTCACTAGCTGGATACGCTGATATATTCCTAGTTAGTGTATTAGTATTAGTATTTTTCATTTGTTTGTTTGTTTGGTTGCTTATTTATTTATTTATTTACTTGATTATTTTTTTATTAATAGCGTAATGTGATGTCATCAGGAGTAGTCCCACAGATATCATTAATAATGGGACCCTGTGCAGGTACAGTATAGTCTCTCTTAATGGACACTCTCTATAGCGTACACCTCCATTTAACGGACAGCACCTAGTGTACCAATTACATTCCTTACTGTATAAAATAACCTCCACATAAAGGACACCTCTGTATAACAGAGACACTTTCAAAGTGTCCATTATATGGAGGCTAGTCTGTAGTTGTAATTGACCAATCAGATTGCTTGATTCTAAGTTTATTAATGACTTACACTACCAAGTTTATCATCATCATCATTTTTTAAAATTTATTATTCTTATTATTATTATTATTTAAATTTATTATTATTATTATTATTATTATTATTATTATTAATAGATTGTTTGGATATTAATGCATCAGTTAAAGGTGCTCGGTTCGTTAGGTTCTGTGATGCTTTTTGTATTCCACTGATAACCCTTGTTGATGTACTGGGATTTCTACCAGGTAACCATGAGTAATTATAATGTTTTCTGATACATATTGATGTCCTTATACTGTGTAGCAAGTTTGAGTTAATTCCGACTTCAATTTTTTTAGTTAATGTCATGAATATCATGTGCTGCTGACAGACGTTAATATACCATCATGAGATCTATTCTAGGTGATATTTCTTCTCTAGGAGCAAGCCTAGGTTAACAAAGCAGATATGCAATCTTCAAACATGATTTTTTCAGTGACTGCTTCTAACTATAAGCAAGATAACTTTAATTTAAGCAAGATGACTACAAGATACTGAATTTAGACATGTGCAATTGCTTTGCTAGCTCTGACATGTATATCATACAGCACATAATCTATAGCTTGCTTAGGCTCGTTATAATTTAACACATTAATCAGCTCAGGCTCGCCCCCTTAATGCCTTGCATTTTCCCTAGTCTATACACAATATCAATGATACAGTATTGGTCATTCATTGTAACTAAATCAATTAATGTTTAACATAATGTCACCTCCTCCACATTATAATGAGACACACATTAACTGATCAATCATTAGCTGATACTAATGGGCTAATGTTCATATACTGTATATTACATACAGTCACTAGTCAATAGTGTCTGCTGGAGTAGAGGAGGAGGTGTCTGTTATAAGGAGTGTATCTGTTAATAGTATCACATTGTACTAATAATAGTGATAATAGTATTTAATAATAATTGTTTTTAATAGTTGTTTGTCGTTCCCAAACTGTTTGTCTCCTCCCACTACTGTCACTAGTAATGTTATCATATCTACAATGAGACACAGGATATATTATAATAATGATTTGTTATTATTTCATAATTTCCCATCGTACAGCAACAGCTAGTGTAGAAACCACTCAATCATTAGTTAATGACATATTAATAAATGATTTAATAATAATAATAATAATAGCAAAGCTAATTGTTGAAATATTGTACAGTATTATAGACGGTGGTCAATGAAAAATTTAATATAAGAGAGGGAAAGGGAAAGTTTCAGGGGAGGGGGAAGATAGTTCCATTGATTAATTGCAGATGGGTAAAATGAGTTTGAGTATGTAGATGTCTTACAAGTGATCTGAGAAAAGTTACCGTTATTATTAGATCGAAGAGAATAGCAGGAGGGAGCTTTAATTTGCAGAGGATGGAATGGGGTAAATGAAAGGTTTTCTTTTATCTTAAAAAGCAGGACAATTTTAAATTTAAATCGCCGATGAGACAGGGAAGTAAGTTGAGAGAGATTTAGGAGATGATGGTACGGGATAGACCATGATTTGAAGGCTATTTTTAAGCCAAAATGCTGAACAGCCTCCAGTTGTGATGAGACTGTAGGAGAAGGAGGATCCCAAATTGAGGAAGCGTACTCCAAAATTGGCCGAACTAGTGTCACATATAGATCCAGTCACTGATGTATATTATACACTTAATGTTATAAATAGCAACTACTGCAGCATCATATTGTTCATCTACTAGACTGTACTAGTAATCAATCAATAGCTACAACAATGCATGCACCTTGTATTGTTATTAAAGTAAAGGTAAGGATTCCTTATTAAGAGCTCATAATTACTCAAACTTTTTGACTGTATGATAAAACATTGCTAGTATAGTCTACATAATGATCAGTGAGTAACTAATTATAATTAATTCCAGGGGTCTAATTCTGTCCTTTTTACCGGTCCCTTGAAGTTTACTGTCATGTCAAATTACGTGCATTAATTTTGTACATTATCAATGAAATGAATGGTATGTTACAATAATGTCATCTCCTCCATAGGAAAAAACAAGCAGATACATATGGTACACTAGTCAATAGTGTCTGCTGGAGTAGAGGAGGTGTCTGTTATAAGGAGTGTATCTGTTAATAGTATCACATTGTACTAATAATAGTGATAATAGTATTTAATAATAATTGTTTTTAATAGTTGTTTGTCGTTCCCAAACTGTTTGTCTCCTCCCACTACTGTCACTAGTAATGTTATTATATCTACAATGAGACACAGGATATATTATAATAATGATTTGTTATTATTTCATAATTGCCCATCGTACAGCAACAGCTAGTGTAGAAACCACTCAATCATTAGTTAATGACATATTAATAAATGATCCAGTCACTGATGTATATTATACACTTAATGTTATAAATAGCAACTACTGCAGCATCATATTGTTCATCTACTAGACTGTACTAGTAATCAATCAATAGCTACAACAATGCATGCACCTTGTATTGTTATTAAAGTAAAGGTAAGGATTCCTTATTAAGAGCTCATAATTACTCAAACTTTTTGACTGTATGATAAAACATTGCTAGTATAGTCTACATAATGATCAGTGAGTAACTAATTATAATTAATTCCAGGGGTCTAATTCTGTCCTTTTTACCGGTCCCTTGAAGTTTACTGTCATGTCAAATTACGTGCATTAATTTTGTACATTATCAATGAAATGAATGGTATGTTACAATGTCATCTCCTCCATAGGAAAAAACAAGCAGATACATATGGTACACTAGTCAATAGTGTCTGCTGGAGTAGAGGAGGTGTCTGTTATAAGGAGTGTATCTGTTAATAGTATCACATTGTACTAATAATGATAGTGATAATAGTATTTAATAATAATTGTTTTTAATAGTTGTTTGTCGTTCCCAAACTGTTTGTCTCCTCCCACTACTGTCACTAGTAATGTTATCATTATCTTCAATGAGACACAGGATATATTATAATAATTGTTAGTTTATAGTAACTGCTGGTAGTTCGTCAACAACAGCTGCTACTAAAGATCAATCATCAGGTAATTACATATTGATGATCCAATGATCACTGATGTACATTATACACTTATTATTATTAATAGGAACTACTGTATCTTGTTGTTCATCTACTAGACTAACTACAACAATGTATCATATGCACACACATTGAGCATTGACAACTTAGTAGTGTTGAATCCAGCTGGCATTGTTATAAAAGTAAAAGATAAAGATTCCTTCAATGCTTATAACTAAAAAATGTCTCAAACTTTCTAACTGAGATAAACACTAAAAACTGCTAGCACATCATAATTCATTATGCTCTCTCTCTCATTTTTGTAGCAATCAGATCCCTTCAATTTTACTGGCGTGCTGAAATATCATTATTGTACCGGCATTATCAGTGATACAGTATTTATATCTGGAACATATGCTACATTATAATCAATAATTTTTGTAAGATGTTATAATTATGTTTTAATAGTAGATCTTAGATCTAAATAATGATAGTGATTGTTAACTTGATTATAGTGATACGTATCATTATCATTGCACATATAATATTATTGAGGCAAGCCTGAGTGAACCTCACTAAAGGCCAATTTACACTGCAAAATTAACGTAAAGTAAGGCTATAATGTTATGACAGGAAGTGCTGTATAAACCAAATGGCCACCATTTTACGTAGGTAAGAACAGTCTTACCTCAGTAATGTGAACAGTTGCCATTGGTTACCAGATTCTATTCCAGTGTCAACGTAACAGCATAATATTGTAAACCAGCCTTTACCTGGCCTCATGTTCATTTTGCAGTGATGTGTAGCTATCCCTGTATGGGCAGCCTGCATTGTCTAATGCTTATTTAATAATAAGAATGTAAAACATCAGTTTAAGGGGCGAGCCTAAGCAAGCCATAGTTTATTATTTATGAGCAAGCAAAGCAATTGTATATATGTCCATGCAAATACAAAAAGTAAAAAATTTCCTAGCATTTCATTAGCTAGTCATCTGAACATCTGCAAGCATTAAAGATCTGTTAGAAGCAGTTACAATTTATATTTTAAAGAAGTATGATTTGAAATGCCAGTAACAGTGAAGAATAAAACTCAAAATGTCTCCTCAAAAAAGCGACTTGTTCACAAAGGCTGCTTTTGGCCTTCTGTCCATTGGTTTTGCCGTCCAGCAGGAGAATTTTGAAAATTATCACAGAGAATGCAAATAAAATGCGGAAGATTACGAATAGTGTCTCATACCGTATCTCCAGAACTTCTGCTTTTTTAAAAGGCAGTGGCTATTTTTACGGGCCCGTAATCCGACCGTGGGTGGCTATTTTTACGGCAGGGTGATTTATCTATGGATTTACTCATTTTAAAACCTGGGAAACACTCTAAAATAAAAAAAACTAAACCCTAAACCAACCTAGTCTGGGGACGCTCTAAAAAAAAAAAAAACCGCCACCCTAACCCCTAAACCCTAAAAACAATAGCTAAGTAGGGGACTCCTAACATAACTAGGGCTCCTAACATAATTAGGGAACATAGCGAAGTAGAAAGATTAAAAAAATCAATTTGTTAAAGTCAAAATTATAAAATAAAAAAAAGAAATGATCTGAGCTGAATTCGAACCAGTGCCCGTCTGTGTCCAACCCAGCGCCTTCCCCACTGTGCCACCACGACCCTGCTGCTTTGTTGATGCTGATTGTCATGTTTTTACGTCACTTCATTTCTATATTCCCTGCCGTAAAAATAGCTGTATACAATGAGATTACGGGACCGTAAAAATAGCCACTACTTTTTAAAATGACTTAGTCACAGGCTCACAGCCGGCAGAAATTGGATGCAGCTTTCTCAGTTAGCCTCTCATTGCAGCATTCAGCTTATCAGAGTCCTTTATATCAATGAAAAGATTGTATATCTGCTGTCCCAGCCTTCCTTCACTGCTACAGAAGTCTTTGAACATCAGTTTAGTCTTGTCTTGCTGATCTTTTGCTGCAAATAAGCTCAGAGTTAGTCTCGTGCAGCCAGACCATTTCCCAGCCTACAGTCATTTGGGTGGTCCACCTAAATAAAAATGACTGTAGGCTGGGGAATGGTCTGGCTGCGCTAGACTAGCTCAGGCTGCTAGCCTCCATTTTATTCATTGTGACCACACCCGTTTTCAAGATTAGGCTATTTAACTTTAATTAATAGTTATACGGTATTTTATTTTATTGCTTCACTACAAACTATGATGATTGCAGTTATTTTTAAAATCTTAAACTAGTGAAGATCTATTTATCTGCAATATCTGATGAAGTAAAGAACAGGATCATCAAAGCCGAGGCACTTGTCTCTTTCTCCTTCTTATACTTATCCTTACTTTTTGTTCTGTGTGTTGTAAAGTGATAATAATAATAATAATAATAATAATAATAATAATAATAATATTCATGTCTATAGACCACCCTAGGCGAGAATTGAATGCGTAGGAAGATTATTAGAAATTTTTACGGTTGTAAGGCGTGATTTAGGATGAAATAAATTCCGGCCGCCATTTTGGTTGGCAACTCAATGGAGAACAAACGGGTCGACATAAAAACAAACCTG